GGGGAGAGGGGTGGGGGGGGGGGGGGGGGGGGGGGGGGGGGGGGTTCTAATGCGATGAAGGAGATTGCGAACAATCGCAAAAAGAACCATCGAAAGACGAACTATTAGGAGAAAGTACTGTGCGAGCTTTTCTTTTCGTACTCCGAAGTCTCTTTATCGAAAATGGTCGTCGGTATAACGTCGCTCGACTTGGCTCGGATTTATTAGTCGTAAAACCAGTATTTAGTTTAACGATATTAATCGTGTGCATTCGTGTACGTCAACTATTTACAGTCTGAATTGTGACACGCGCTAGGCGTATCAATTTCGATAGATACTTTTACGACATTATCGTAGCATACGCTAACTAAGACACTTCATTGATCGAACGAATGGCTGACGGTGGCAGTATTAAGTAATTGATTTGCCTGGCCGATTTCATAGCGATTCAACGAGAGGGTAAATCGTTCCAGGATAGTTTATACCTTATCTATGCTGCGTATCTACATACATGTTTACCCTCGCTATAAATGCTTGTAAGGATACCCTATCGTAAACCTGTTAGAACGCTTTATTACGGATAGTAATCGTGATACTAATTCGGAGTATATAGAAATATAAGTGCATATTTAAAATACAGCCTTAGACTTCCGACGTTCGCAGTCATACAAAATTTATAAATCTAATCAGTCTACTTTAACGACATATTGGACTCACGTAAAAACATTTCATTCTTTCATTATTACATGTACGTTGCATTTTCTATTTTCGCTCGATAGAGAAGCGAAACGTAAATGAGGCTAATTAATACGCTTTACGGTTAATTAGTATGCATAACGAAAACAAACATTAAGGAAGAAGCGTTCGCGTTCGCAACGTGTTACCGCGTTCTTGAAAATGGAAAATTTACACTATCGTCCCAACTGCAATTTAATTGTCGATCATAAAATAAATTACGTGTTCCGCAACGTACGCGTCTGACCCGGTTAAGCCAATTTTTACATCGAACTCTGTACATTATAAAACAAATAACTCTTAAATGTGTAAGTAAGTACGTCCTCAACAATGTCCGAGTTTGTTCGTGCGGCACAATAAAACGTATACGCCATTTTCAATAACAATATTATCAACAAAGAGTCTTTACAAGTCCGAGTTGTATACGTGTATATATGTATATATATATACATATATAGAGCCTCCAAATTGTAGCATTTTATATAGTAATCTAAGGCACGCGATTTTATCGACAGAGGCACTGGCAGTTATTAACAATTACACGTTACATATTTTTAACTTAATCGAAACTTAACCGTCGCTTTACATTCAACGAATTCGTTATATACACACCACTTGTACGCGCTTTGTTCTTTTTTTTCGAACGAAAGAATCTGTTTAAATACGTCTGCTTGCTGAGTAGGTATTTTATACACTTTAGACATATGAGAAACCTAGAACTATCGAATAATAATAGAATAAAATAATTCGTATTTGTATGTACATATTTGCAAACGGATCGATCCGAACTCGCTGTGTACAACTTAAAGCAAAGCACCTAAGCTTTTCACGATCATTCCCTTTTGTAGAAATATTCTCCGATTTTATGGTCTCGGATAGCATCCACTACTACGTACAGTGACTCGCATTAATATTTGAACACGACATTATTAGAAAAATTATTGCTCTTTTTTATTGTTTATGATATTATTATTGAATCAATTGTTTTCTCATATATTAAAGCACTTCTTATAGTAAGTAGAAACATAAATTTTGTTTATTTATCGCGCATGTTCTTTTGTATAATAAAAAATTACAAGTGCTATAAATATAGATATACGTAACAGTTATAAGTTTTATCAGGATAATGATCCTAAACACAAGGCCGGAATTGTACAGGAATATTTATTATACAATTGTCCAAAAGTACTGCATTCTCTCCCTCAATCGACTGATTTAAATCCGATTGAAAATTTATGGGATCAAGTGGACCGCAAAATTCGTACAACACCTACAAGGACAACAACAGAGTTAAAACAACGTTTGTTAGACGAATGGAAACGGATTTCACCGGAGTATTTAAATAAAATCATCTGTAACATGTCCAAGCGATTACATGAAGTAATAAAACAAAAGGGTCAACCCACAAAATATTAGTATTATGATAACATGATTAAAAGATTTTCATTTTACATAAAATAAATAAACGTTAAATTTTGTCACAACCTTGTTTATCGCTTATTATACAAAAAAACATGAGCAATAAATAAACAAAATTTATGTTTCTACTTACTTCAAGAAATGCTTTGATGAGATGAGAAAACAATTGATTCAATAATACTATCATGAACAGTAAAAAGGAGCAATAATTTTTCTAATAATATCGTGTCCGAATATTAATGCGAGTCTCTGTAACTGTAAACGTTATTAAATTTTATATGTTACACGAAGTAATCTACAAGTGGTCTACGTCTAGTACATTTTAATAAGGCGTTACATGCATCTAGGCAGATCGATATTTTGCACGTTCTTTATGAGAAAATATCTGTAAACTGAACATCTAAACAATTTTGTCGGAAATTTCTATCTGTGGAACACTATATCTTACTTAATTGTGAACAGCGTTCACAACTTCAACACTCGAACGGCGAACTTCTCTGATAAAAATATAACTTAGTGTCATTTGTAAGTATTATTTATAATATAGGATCTTATATTATATTATAATATATATAATATATATTAATAATATTATTATATATTAATAATATTATTATATATTATAATAATATATATTATATATTATATATTATATTATAATATAGGATAATTATAATATTATTTATCAATTTTTTGTCAACATATTTTTTAATAGATCTTCCATAGACTTCCGTTGACTTTAATGAAACATTTAAACGAATTGTCAGGAACTACATAATTAGCCCACTCATTTATAGAATGGGTAGCTTTTATGAAATCGTGTTCGAAACAGAACCATTATAAATTTGTATATTTTTTAGAAATGTTTCGTCAACCCATCAAAAAGGCACTTTAATTTAAAGGCATTTTGTACGCGTTCATAATTTTCTCTTAACATTTGAATTACCTCCCTAGTTCATTTTGTGCTCCATATTGTGCCCAACTTTGCATCCTACTTTGTAACCAACTGTGTCCCATTTTTTGTTCCATTTTGAGTTGCATTTTGCGTGCCATTTCGTGTATTATTTTCTGTTGCATTTTTACTTTATGTTCCATTTTGTGTCACACTTTGTGTTCCACGTTGTGCTCCACTTTGTGTCCCACTTTGTGGATGTTAATAACGAATAAGACGTTCAGAACAAGGGTGCTCGGCATTTGACTACAACGCAAACCTTGGAATTCAGTGGACTCGACCGCACACCTGTGATTCTATTCCACCTAAGTAGGGATAGCCACTTTTTGCCTCGCTGGGGCTGTGAGGCGTTACGTGATGGCTGATCGCAGCAGGAGTTGGCACTCCCGAAGTTGCGCTCTGAGCCATGCACGCACCCATGTTTGACGCGGTGGAAGCGACACTGCCACCTAGACTGCTCAGGTTCAGATTGTTGGATGCTAGATTCGATGCTAGATTGCTGCTGCTGTAATGGGAAGCGTTGAACAATCTGGAACAGAGAAACGAATTGCATCTGAAACTAAGTACTGTCAGATAATTGATTTGTTTATGCGCGCCTATTATTTACGTAATATTAACAAGTATGCGATACATATAATATTATATGGCTTTCGCTACTTCTAGCGACAAGGTCAGAATAGCCGTGTGTGTGGTATTATTCCAAAATCGATTTAACAGGTGTGGGTCTCAACACCCATCCCTTAAGAATGTCAATTAAGACAAGAGGGTGTTTCGTGTTTTTCACAATTTTTACGTAAAAATGTATCGTTACGCAACTCGTAATGATTTCAAGCTGTGACTAAAAAACTACGACTGATGTCATAAATAATTGCACGTTTATAATGAAAAACATTTTTATGCAAACTCAGAGCTGTAAGTACTAACTTAAAAATAAGGGAATTATATACAATATTTAGTTTTGGCAGAAATTATTTTCTTTTTATTTATCTAGTTGATGAATTGTTCAACACACAATTTTCGATATTATGCTAACTTTACAATAATGTCGTTTACTTTTTAAGTATCTAATTGTTCACCATTTCCATCGACGTCCTATCGCGTTCATCAATTTTAACCTGCACAATAAAATCTTACCATTGAATTTAAGGTCGAATAGGCTAGTAATTCTGTAACGCTAAACCTATTGAACTCTCTAAAAATAACTAACGCGTGGTTGCTTTATAACGATGAAAAGATTTGTTTAGACCTTTCGCCATTTTTATTCTAATGTATCCCAGGATTAAGGAAATTATTCAATCATTTTCTGTGAAAAGAGTCTTTATAATGTCAGCATCTTTAACCAGTTAACTGTTGCAATCTCTTTTGATAGTGTTAGATTAAGTTACTGTATTTCTGAGACATTGGATTTTATGCATTTATGAGAAAAATGAGCATATGAAACATGGAATAATAAAAATGTTCTTTTATCAGAACTCGATATCTAAACTCCAAGTGTATAGAATTAATTGTTAATTTCATTCCTCTCGTGACAACATCACTATTTCGAAAAAAGAAGTGCGACACATTTTGGACCGGTGTGACAGCGGAGAATTAAAAACAACTATTTTATAAAATATATATATATATAATTAAATAAACAATATCAAAGTACGCATCCTTATTAATCAGTTGACTGTTTTCGACGGATATATTCGTCACGAAGAAATGGCAACATGTTGCGTTACGACGAGCACGCTCGTCGGAAACGGCTAACTGGTTAAAACAACCAACGCGAAACCTGTCACTTCGACCGGCTCGGTAGGTTTAGCGTTAAACCAACGACTCTCTCAAACTGCATGCGACTAAAAGATGCTCGAACGAGGGCGCAGCATCGCGTTTTACAAAGTTGCAACAAACGCCGCTGTAAAAGAACACCGTAACCAATCGGTGGCTGCATACGAACGCACACTAAGCCGCGAGCACACTTTCGATCAAATATTTTCGCCGTTTTAATTGAAATTCCCGGATGTAAATTAAATCCTTACTGCCTGCCGAATTCGCTAAATCGGTATAAACTTTCGAAGGTTTTTGTGGAAACGTAAAGATATTGGGCGATCACGCGTTCCGGTATTGTGATCAAAGCATAACAGTCAATAAGTATTTAACTGAAACATTCGGTGGCCCCTTAGGGATCACCAACGTCGAGGAGTTACAAATTTCTGGCGATTTTACACCGAATATAAAGCAGGTCGGTGATATTATGGTCGCCGCGAGTGGAGCGACAATATTAAAATATTAACGCGGGGCAATTTTGCCTCCATAACCTCGAGATGAAATTCCCTTTTCGTTTCGTGAGTCTCAAAGTAACCGCCGACAACTTCTCTCTCGTTTTGCCGTGCAATCAAAGTTCACTGCTCGTTTGCAAGCCGATACTGTACGCACACGGACACGCGAGAAACTTTCACGCTTGTACACATACACAGACGAATCGTTTAGGGCGTGTCGGGGCTGCCAACAACCGATTTCAAAACGGAGTAGCGGTCCTTTTGACCGTTTCGGCACAGCAGCCACGGTTAAGAACCCCGAAGCGTACCAATGCTGAAACCATTTAATTCCTCTCTTCTTCTTCTTCTTCTTCTCCTTCTTCTCCTTCTTCTTCGTCTTCTTTTCTTCCTCTACGTCTCCTACCTTTTTCTTGTCTTTCCTTCCTCTCGCCGACCTTTCTCGTCGTCTCTTAATTTCTTTTTACGAACGAGTGCAGAACCTCGCGGAAGCTCCGGAATATATATCGCATGCGGCCCGCTGATCGGTCTACAAATCTATTTTCGCCTAGCGGACCCCGGCCACAAATCAAATTCACTTCTATAGAAGTGTTAATGAATTCTGCTGAATTTCAGAATGGAGGAACAATTTATAACGGGTCCGGAGGGTTGGAGGATTCTTCGGTGAAAGACGAAGAGTCGTCCCTTCGGCTGGCGTCGCTCGCTGTTGGACCGTACGACCTCGAAAACTGGCCAAAAGTCGACTTAAAACATTTTGTGCAACGTATAGAATTTTCGCTTTCTGAGACGGAATGATTTTTTATGTGAAGAGCTTTTGCGACACTTTTTCTCTTTAATTTCGACATCGCGTCAGTGTGGTGTAAAAATGTAACGTGATAAATGTGATGGGGTATTACGTGTCCCAATCAACTTATTTAACAAATTGTTTAATAGAATAATTTCAATAGGGAGATTTTTAGTTTAACTAATACACTTATCATTCAATTTAAAAAAAATGTACAAGGATATGCGTTATGCATTATTATTATTATTATTATTATTATTATTATTATTATCATCATCATCATTGACATTTTGTTTAAAGCAGGTTGTTCAAATAAAATTGCTATGTTCCGCAATCATGTAATAGTTTAAGCATAAATAGTCTACGGAGCACTGAAAGTAGCCATCTTATGTTGCTTCATCAAAATAACAAGCATATGTTTATTCAGATATTTAGCCACTTTTATTGTAATATATGTTATAATATATGTAATATTAAAATAAATATAATATTAAAATGAAATAATTGTATGTCCTCTTTGGAAATCGAGTAATTATTGTGTTTAACATTTTTCCCAAAAATATGTTGTTTCGGAGTTATTTAGAATTGATGTTTTCAAATGAACACCTTATACACAGATTGGATATATATAAATGCCATAACTTTGTATATATTGAACATTTTTTGTATTTCGGAATTCTCATTATGTAGCACATAAAACATATACAATAATGAATAATAGTAAATTGTAACTATGCTATGCAATAATTTCAATTAAAGTTCTCCATTTCGGACAAATTTTGACAATTGAATTTGATGTCAACGTAAAGTTTACGATCGCTGCAAGTGATACGCGAAAAATACAACATAGATTTCGTTTGTCCACTTATTTATAACATTTATATGTGTATTTACGGTATTATCTATTTACTCAGGATGCTGTACAAATTCAGATCTCTTGCAGAAATGCAAACATCGCATGTAATGCTAATTGCTATTTCAAGTGCAGTTGGATACAGTTTTGATGGTATTTCGTACATTAGAATTACTGCGGACTCTTAATTGCTATCTTAAGTTAATTGGTACCGATAATAATTATTGTAGTTCGTAAAAGAAAGTAAAAATGTAAATAGACACGAGAATGCAAAGAACAAGATGCAATGTTTACAGTTGCAGAGAACCGTGAAACATAAACGGGAACCTTTATTAAATAGATAATATCGAACATATATAAATGTTATGAATAAGTGAATAAACAAAATCTGCCTTGTTTCGTATTTCGCGATTTTCTTCGAATCGGAGTACGACTGTAGAAGATTAAAGAAATGGTATGCGAATCCAAACACAAGTCTTATAACTTTGTTAAATTTCAATTTTCAATTTAATTTCACAAGCAGAAGATTTTCTAGATTTGTAGGACTTTAGTTATTTCTACAATTGTTTAGTATAAATTTTAGTATTAAAAAGACAGGTTCATTGTTAAATTGCGCAGTTAGGACGCCGTGAATAATTATTATAATTCCACCTTGTGAAGACACGTTTTATATTTCGCCTCATCTCAATAATCTAATAAATTACTTTCCAAAGGAATCATTTTTGGTTTATAATCAGAATAATCATATGATATTATTAATTATATAATATCCGACACTTATAACAATGTTTTAGAACTCTTCCTATGCTAATCAACAAAATATTTGTTCCTGTAATTGAAACACTTTTACTTCAAAATGTATAGTATTTCTATTTTATATGAATTTATGCACATTGTGCACTTTCTGCATATGAATATGCACAAATGTAAAAAAATATATGCATAAATATGCACAAATTTGATAATGTTAAAATTGCTTTGGAATAATATATAACAACCTCCAGTGGTGCCGCAGAGTCATCACTAGACTGCGGATTTTATGCATATATTACAAAAATGAATAGGTCAGATATAAAATTGTAAAGTCATTAGAAGAATTTGGGGATATTATTATATTATTCTCAACTGACTATAATTATTAATGGAAAAGAGACATTATATATCAACTAATTTAAGTTTCTTACAATTAACTAGAACTATTTTTATTTTGCATAAAGATTCGCAGTCTAGTCATCACTGAGTTACAAAGAGTTAATTCTAGTCGAACCAAAACTTTCAATTTCAAGAATTTTTTTATATCTGTTCTCATTGGACCTTGCAACATGAAAGCATTTTTCGAAAAGTACAGTACACCCGCCCTTAATTTGCATCGGACTTTTCTTCCAAAATTTCATTTTCAACAAAATTTCATGAAATGTTGCAGCGAATATCAACAAACTTATGAAAACTTAATAAAAGAAAATACAGAGAAAAATTCTCATCTGAACAAATTTACATTTACAATGAAGATAAAGTCAAACTCCGAAATATTACAAGCGATGAAGATGGCGAGTTTGTGTCAATCGAAGAGAAAAAGTCGATTGTTCTAAATTATACTAGCGATGACGACACCGAACGAAATTCACTTTTGT